ACAGAGCCCTGGAAGCTTGCACTGCCCAGGGAGGGCCTGAGCGCCCCGCTCTGCAGGCATCCCAATCCCAGCTGGACGTGTCCCTCTGTCACCTGCTCCAGTGACCCTGCCCTGCATGGAGTAGCACCAGATGATCCCTAACAACCCCAGCTGTTCTGGAATTCTCAGATTGAACAGAACCCACCCATTTCAGGAATGTTCTCAGCAGGGAAACCTAAACCACCTTCCCAAGAGGATGGTTCTGGGGCCACTGGGAGATTTAACTTCCAAATCAGAAGATTAAAATCCAACTATTCACTGAAAGTTTCTTCCTCTCCATCCCTTCCCATCTCCCCTCAATCCCCCAGTCCCAAAGATTTCCCTGAACACAGCTCTCAGCCTCCTGCTGCTCATCCCTGGGTTTCAGGGTTTGCTGTGGATTCCCCTCCCTGGCCCCGTGTCCATGGAGTGCCGGCGGTACCTTGGGCGGGCACAGCAGCAGCTGGTGGAAGTCCTTGAGCCGGGGCTCGATGCCGTGTAAGATGCTGCTGTTGACAGTGTAAGACCTCTCGAATCCCTGAGTGTACGAGTCCATCAGGCCTTCCACTCTGAGGGAACACCACGATTCACTGGAGTCACTCACCATTCCCTCTTCCCATTCTGAACAACCAAGTGATACCAGGGTCCTCAAGGTCCCTCCCAACCCAGTCAGTCCTGGGATTCTGGGACTTTATGATATTAAACCAGTGCCCAACCTGGTGTTCAATCAGCAATTCCACTAAAACCATTTTCCTTCTACTCTTCCAGAACTGCCCCCAGTATCCAGAGGTGGAGATTTTGTTAAAGAGCCTCCAGTCACACTGGCCATGTCAGTAGTTTTCTCTTCAAAAATGAGGATGAAAAATAATAATATTCAGCTCCTGAACACATTCCCACACCTGCACAGTATTGATTCTATTATATTAGTTATTCCTATTATTTATTATACTGTATTAGTTAATACTGGTATAATTTCCCAGGTGCTGCTCACACAACCAAACCTGTGCTGAGCTCAGCAGGAGCTGCCCAGAAATAACCTCCCAGCAGAGCTGGCAAACCAAACATTCCCTAAGTGGGGCCTGGGGTTCCAAACTCCCAAACACTTCCAAAGAAAATGGCTCATCAAGAGCTACCTAACAAATCTTTGTTCCCCCCACTGTCCCAGGCTGCTCCAGCCCCAACGTCCAGCCTGGCCTTGGACACTGCCAGGGATCCAGGGGCAGCAGGCCCTGCCCACCCTCCCAGCCACGAATTCCCTCCCAATATCCCATCTAAGACTCCCATCTTCCAGCTTGAAGCCATTCCCTGTGTCTGGGCAGTGCCCCCAGCCCAGCCTGGAGTGTCCAGTGATCCCAGTGACCCCAGCGATCCTGGTAATCCCACTAATCCCAGTAATCTCAGTAATCCCGGTAATCCAAGTGATCCCTGTGATCCTGGCAATCCCAGTGATCCCGGTAATCCCATGGATCCTGGCAATCCCAGTGATCCTGATAATCCCAGCAATCCCAGCAGTCCCAGCAATCCCAGTGCCCCAGTGATCCCAGTAATCCCAGCGATCCTGGTGATCTCAGTGATCCCAGTGACCCCGGTGATCCCGGTAATCCTGGCGATCCCAGTGATCCTGGCAATACCAGTGACCCTGGTAATCCCAGCAATTCCAATGATCCCGGTAATCCCGGTGATCCCGGTGATCCCAGTAATCCTGGTGATCCCAGTGATCCTGGCAATACCAGTGACCCTGGTAATCCCAGCAATTCCAATGATCCTGGTAATCCCAGTGATCCCAGTAATCCTGGCAATCCCAGCAATCCCAGTAATCCTAGTAATCCTGGTAATCCCGGTGATCCCAGCGATCCTGGTAATCCCAGTGATCCCAGTAATCCTGGCGGTCCCAGCAATCGCAGTAACCCTGGCGATCCCAGTGATCCCAGTAATCGCGGCAATCCCGGCAGTCCCAGCGATCCCAGCGATCCCGGCTCACCCGGAGCGCCGCGTTTCCAGCAGCGTCAGGAGCACCTGGGTTCCGTTGACGATGCAGGTCTCGCTCTGCTCCCCGTCGAACATGTTGGTGAGGAGCTGCTCCA